TGCCTCCCAAACTGATCAAGCCAATCAACTGTCTCACCTATTCAGAGGGCCTGATCCAGCTGGGGGCCCCTCAGCCTTTGGTTCATAGTTCATGTGGAATTCACTTTCTTTATTAAAATTTTCTATTTTTACTCAGAATTACTTGTATTAATTATGGTCTAACTTTTTGTTAGAGAGCTCCAATACTTATCTTAATATTCACATCACTTATCTTTTCTCATTTAAGTTGTGATTTTTCTTGGTTCATAATATGACAAATGACTTAAAAAATTATTTCAAGGCCACTTTGGATTTTGTTCGGAGAACTGACTCCCTTAAACTGACTTGAGCAGATTTAACTTGCTCAGTCAGGTTCTGGTTTGCCAAAGTAACAGTGACAACTTAGTTCTATTTTGGGTTATCTGGTCTGGCCATTCCTAACTCTACCCAGATCTTGCTGTGATGCTGTCTACCTAGTGGAAGGTGCTTCCCTGGACTATTGATGTCTTTGGAGAAGTAAGGAAAGCATTTCTCCTGAATGTTTTCTTTCTTTCTTCTTTTCTTTCCTTTTAAAACATAATTATGAGTTCTAGGTCAAAAACAGTATAACCTAAGTTTTCCCTGCTTCTCTCCTATATACTACTAAATAGCTTATAAATAAGTTACCTATCATAAAAGTATTTGAAAAAGAAAGAAGTCAGCTTGGTATCAGAAAGCCAACCAGTTCCATCCCAGTTTGTCACATGTACCCAGATGGAGCAGAGGCAACCCACATAGATGATTCTTACCCTAGCAAAACCAGCAGTTATAGATTAGAAAGCCTTCTGTAACTGTGATACCAATCTCTCTCTCTCTCTCTCTCTCTCTCTCTCTCTCTCTCTCTCTCACACACACACACATACACAATTTTTTTTTTCAATTAAAAGGCTTGAATTATTACTAGTATTTTTCCTTTCCCAATTTCCAATGTGCGTGTACTGAGTTCTATAATGTTTTAGGAACTATTCTATGTTCCGAGGGTCCAGTGATGATTAGGATAAAAATGCATCCATTTCCTGAAAATTTTATTTCAGTGAGGAATAAAAAATTCAAAACATAAAGTCTGTGTTACCTAATGCTAATGGCTAGTAGGGTATCTTTTAAAACAACTCAGAAAAGCTGTAGACGGTAGATAATAAAAACATATTTCATTATTCCAATAATGAGGTAAACTTGTGAAAAACATTGCTATTGTCATTTATATGAAACTTTAGAAAATTAAGAAAAATAAGTTTTTAAAAAGTATGTTGTCAGCAAGTAGAATTCACATCAAATATAAATTTTATCTGAAGTATGAATGAACCAATTCCAGAAGTCTGATGCTTTCACCTGGCCTCCATTGGCACCAGGCATACAAGTGGTGTACATACATACATTCAGGTAAAATACTCATACATATAAATCTAAAAAAATACAAATAAGTATGAGTGGAGTTTTACAAGAAAGCTAAATGTGGTGGCATATGCTTGCAATCTAAGCTACTGGGAGGTTGGGGCAGAAAGATCACAAGTTTGAGGTTAGTATGGGCTACAGAGCAAGACTCTATCTCAAAATTATTTCAAATCAAACCAGCCAGGCAGTGGTGGCGTATGCCTTTAATCCCAGCACTTGGGAGGCAGAGGCAGAGGCAGGGGGGATCTCTGTGAGTTCGAGGCTACCCTAGTCTACATATCAAGTTCCTGGACAAGTTCCTGGACAGAAAAACCCTTCTCAAAAAGAAAAAAAAAATTTTTTTCCCCAAATTAACCCAAAATGCTGAGGACATCTTGCTTAAATTTCAACTTCTGTCATTCACTATCTGTGTGACCCCTAACAATTTTCACTTCATCTTTCTTAGCCTTGGTTTATTTGCCTATAAATGATTTTTTTTTTTTTTTTTGGAGACAGGCTCTCTCTACAGATATCTGGCTGTCTGAGAACTCGCTATGTAGACTAGACTGGCCTCCAATTCATAGAGACCTGCCTGTCTCTGCCTCCTAAGTGCTGGGATTTAAAAAAAAAAAAAAAAAAAAAAAAGGTGTGTGCCACCATACCTGTAGAAGTTTTTTTTTTTTTTTTTTTTTTTAAGGAATCAAAGCTAGGCCCACATGTACATGAAAGGCCAGCACTACCACTGAGGCTACATCTCCAGCCTTTCACCTACAAAATGAGATTGTACTAGATTATTTTCACAGTTCTTTCAAGCCTTAATCTTGCTACACAATTACAACCAGTTAGAGAAAATTATATGCTCTCAACTCTTGTTTAAACTCATCGCATTAACCACACACTACAAAGCAGGGTGATACAAAGATGACAGAAAGATATAAGGCAGAGATGGAAAATTTATTACATTAGTACTTTATCCCTAGGTCCTAAATATGACCCACTGAGCAGTCTGTTTATACTCAAATCTACCTGCACCATTGAAGACACTGAAAAACATCTAGAAACATTCTCAGGAGGAGCTAGAGAGAGGCTTGGTGGATAAAAGCACTGATGGCTCTTTCAGAGGATGTGGATTTGATACTTAGCATCCACACTGCTGACAACAACAAACTGCAGCTCCAGTCCTAGAAGACAGACACCTTCTTCTGGCCTTCAAGGGCACCCCCTACACACACACACACACACACACACACACACACACACACACACACACACACACACACACACACACGGGGATTGGGGAAGAAGCCTACTTTAGAGAGCTTTCAATATGTAGCCACAGTATTATTTTTGAGGCTCAAGATCTAAACATTATTGCAAATCATGGCTATTTTTAAGAATGATCTCTAAAGGATTATTGCTGCAACAGGAATTTGTATCATTCAAGTATTGCTGATTAAATTTCCACTTACCATTCTGGCACAGTACTAAAGCTTTGATTTCAAGGAATCGTTAAATATAAGCTATATATTCCTAGTTCTGAAGCTATTACTTTCTTTTAATATAGAACAGGAATTGCTACTTATTTTGTTTATGATAACGAATTTATAGTTTAAATCTATAAGACAGTTTAGAAGTCAGTTTAGTTTACATCTTCACAAAATTATTACCCTACATTTTTTTTAAAGCTTATTTATTTTTATTTTTTGTGTATTGGTGTTTTGCCATGAGTGTCAAGTTCTCTGGAACTGGAATTATAGATAGTTGTGAGCTGCCATGTGGGTGCTGGGAATTGAACCAGATCCTCTGAAGAGCAGTCAGTGCTCTTAACCACTGAGCCATCTCTCCAGCTCCTCCACTTTACCCTATTTTTAAATGATAAGGTATTTATCAAAAATAATGTCTGAATTGTAAAAAAAAAAAAATGTCCATTTCATATTCAGTTACTTATCTATCTATCTATTTTTGGCTAGTAAGATTTTGTTTAAAGGATTAAATTTTTTACCACTAAAAACCAAACAAAACCATGGCTTTTTAAATATTCAATGCATGTCCTTTTATATGATAGTCCATATAGGACTGGGTTGTGATCTACTGGACCTGACTCTCTATGAACACAGGATTAAGGGATGAACTATAGTCAAGCACCATGGCTCACACCTGTAATCCCAACATGCTGGAGGCTGAGACAAGAGACTGTCAGGAGTTCCAGGCCAGCCTGGTTAACAGAGTGAGATCCTGCCTCAAAACAAACAGGACAGATTACAAACATACCTGATGTTCTTTAGTAATTAGAGTATTCATCTAACAAACATGAATTAATTAATTTCTTGATCCCTTTGGTTCTTTTTGAGACAGAGTTTCTCTGTGTAGCTCTGGCTATCCTCGGACTCAGAGACTCACCTGCCTCTGGGTGCTGGGTTGGGATTAAGGGCATATGCCACCACCGCCTGACTGAATTTATTTTAATGGCTGACACAGCTCCTACAAGCAAATGCTCAATAAACAGTAGTTAAATGGCCAGACCTGTGGGTCTCTTTAGTTGAGTCTGACAAGCTTCCCAGTCTATTTGCAAATGCATAGTTTTTTACTAATCTACTCTGGAAAATGTTCATGGTCACAATTACAAGAGCAAGCTGTAAGGAACTATTCTACATGTGAACACTTAGTTTTACTACAGAAAAGTTTCATTGTAACTGGTAAGATTTATCAAGCTCCTTATGTCCCTTTATATAACTTAATCCACATGAATTAAAAGGCAGAAAATTGAAGAAGAAGAAAAAAAAAAAAGAATTACAGAATTGGGCCATTATGTAATCTGTACCTTCATAGGTAAAGGCATAAAAGCATCATCACAACATACTATAAATTGTGGAGCAGTTATCTGCCCTACCACTTTGTAACAGACTTGACTTAAATCACTTTATATTCATGGTTTCCTTTGTCCTTGGGTTTTTTGAGACAGTTTTACTATGTAGGCTAGAAAGGCCTTGAGATCATGAAATTCCTGTTTCAGATACCCCAGCACTGGCACTGTGGGTATGTGCCATCATACTTGTTTCTGTTGTTTGTTTTACATCGGCAGGGCAGGGCAGGGCAGGGCAGTGGTGGTACTTGCCTTCAATCCAACCACTTGAGGAGGCAGAGGCAGGTGCATCTCTGAGTTTGAGTTCCAGAACAGCCAAGGCTGTTACAATCTCAAAAATCAAACAAACAAAAATCTTAAATTGGTAGGTCAGTAAATAAACATGTCAGAAGGAAGAATGGTTAGATCCAAGGCAACTTTTCATATACCTACAGTTCATATTTCAGTATCAGTAACAAGTATGATCTCTTTAAGAAGGAAGATTCACAATCGCTGCTTTACATTTTTTTTTTTTTTTTTTTTTTTGAGCAGGGGGTTGGGGCTGGGGTTTGAGACAAGGTATCTCTGTGTAACAGCTCTGGCTATCCTGGAACTTGCTCTGCAGATAAGGCAGAGCAGGCAGAGATCAGCCTGCCTCTACCCCTTGAGTACTGGGATCAAAGGTGTGCACCACTGCCCATAGGCTTCTCTTTTACTTTTTTGTGTGATTTATACACATTACTTTTAAGGGGTTTGGGCTTTTTTTTTTTTCCCCCTATTTATGTATTTATCTGTGTGTATGTATGGGTACCCAAGTGCCACAGTATGTGTGAAGGTCAGAGGACAACATTTAAGAGTTGGTTCTCTTCTTCCACCATGTGTGTTTTGGGGACTTAATCCAAGTCATTGGCCTACTGGCAAGTGCCTTTATCCACCGAGCCATCCTGAAGGCCCTTAAGGGTTTTTCTTTCTTTGAATTATATATATTTTTATGTACACTGGTGTTTTGCATACACGTATGTCTGTGTGAGGGAGTCTGATCCCTGGAAACAGGGATTAGACAGTTATGAGCTGCCATGTGGGTGCTGGGATGAAATCAGGTCCTCTGGAAGGAGAGTCAGTCCTCTGAAGGGCCGAACCATCTCTCCAGTTCCCCTTGAGGTTTTGTTTTTTGTTTTTTTCTAAACTGAAGAATTTAAAAACAAACTCCTCTACTCTAACATATTTGTTGTCATTTGATATAAGGTCTTGCTACATAGCCTATGGTGGTCTTGAACTCATGATTCCTTTGCCTCCCAAGTGTTAGGATTACAAATACACACCATCATGTTTGGTCTATTATGTTTTTGTTTAGTTTTTAAAGGGTATCAATATGCTAAATGAAGGAAAAATATCAAGTTGAAAAAAAGTCTCTGCATTAGTGAAGTTAAACATATCTATTTTATAATTTGGAAAACACCTTGCTAAGTACCACAATACATCAGAGAAAACAAAGCACTAACTAAGGTTTACTAGTGAACACATAGGATGGCCAAATTAGTATCTGAGAAATATCAACTTGGTACCTTTCATGGCTTCTTCAAAAGAGCAAGGTCTTGCTGGACTAGATATCTCCTTTTTCACATTTACATTCAAAGCACCAGCTGCTGCTATTAAAAATAAAAGTCATACATTTATTTCAATTTATTGATCCTGGTAAAATACATATTCTAATACTCGTTAACTGGAATATTTTCTCAGCACATCATTGACTTACTTACTATAAATCCAAGGATGATGTAATTTTTTTATTGCCAGCAGACTACCCTCTAAAATATTCTCATCTCCAAGTAGATAGAACAAATGATCCCTTACCAAAACAGAAAAATTTAAGAATTCTTTTAACACCGTACATGTTGGTAACAAGAGATGAATGGAAGACTGACACCAAATATTTAGACATTTAAAACTTAACACCCATATTAGAGCACTAGCAAGAAAAATATTTATCATTTACCTATATGAAAAAACATCTGTAAACATTTAAAGTAAATTAAAATATGCATGATGAACACACTACATCTTGTTACTAGCATTAACGGAGAACTCCAAGGCTCCTATTAAATCTTCTATAACAGCTTTTAATTTAATGCACTGAAGAACAAAGGTCATTTCTAAATAATGTTGAACTGCAAATGAGTATTTGGCTTCAAATGGTAATTATTCTATGTTTCATGGATTCCCCTCCACATTTTTTTGAGACAAGGGTTCCTTTCCTCTGGTGTGTTCTCTCCTCCCCACCCCCATCTCTTTTGGTTTTCCCAGACAGGGTTTCTCTGTAGCTTTGGAATCTATTCTGAAACTCACTCTGTAGATCAGGCTGGCCTTGAACTCACCGAGATCCACCTGCCTCAGCTTCCTGAGTGCTGGGATTAAAGGGTATGCCACCTCCGCCTGGCCTTTCCAGTGGTTCTCAACTTGTGGGTCACGACCTCACAGGGGTCACTTATCAGATATCCTGCTTTCCAGGTATTTATGATTCATAACAGCAAAATTACAGTTATTAAGTATCAAAGAAGTAATTTTATGGGGGGGGGGTCACCACCACCTGAGGAACCGTATTAAAGAACCAAAGCATTAGGAAGTTTGAGAACTACTGTTCTAGTTAAACCAGGAGGTCATGGATTTAGCTAGACTGCCTGGCTACCACCCCACAGATCTTCCTGCCTCTACCTCCCCAGTGCATATGGGTGCTGGGAACTGAACCTGGGATCTCTGCAAGAGCAACAAGTGCTCATATCCACTGTGTTGGCTAGTCTGATGTCAACTTGACTGACACACAATTTAGAGTTATCTGAAAGAAGGGAACCTCAAGTGAGAAGAGGCCTTCACAACATCCAGTTATAAGGCATATTATTAATTAGTGACTGATGGGAGAGGGCCCAGCCCATTGTGGTGGTCCAAGGCAAACAAGCCAGTAAGCAGCACCCCTCCATGGCCTCTGCATCAGGTCCTGCCTCCAGGTTTCTGCCCTGTTTGAGTTTCTGTCCTGACTTCCTTCAGTGATGAATAGTGATACTGAAGTGTAAGCCAAATAAAACCCTTTCCCCCCAACTTCTGTTTTGGTCATGGTGTTTTGTTGCAGCAATAGAAACCCTAACTGAACCACCGGCCCCTCTCTCCAGCATGCACCACTGTAGTCAGCTTTTTGTTGTGTGGGCCCTGGTCATGAGGGTCCTTACCTGTGTGCAGCAAGTACTTCACTGATTGAACTACCTCCCTAGCCCATACTTTTTTTTTTTAATTCCCTTTCTTATATGGATGTGTGTGTTCAAGTATGTGTAGAGACATGTGCATATGTGTGCCCATTTGTGTAAGAGGCCAGAGGTAAACCTTAGGTATCTGTCCCTAGGAACCACTGATTTTGTCTATTAAGACAGGGTCTCTCATTGGCCTGCTTACTAATTAGGGTAGTTTGGCTGGCCAACAAGTCTCAGGGACTCTCCCATCTCCAACTCACTGGCTCTGGTACTTACAAACTCACACCACCACAGCTGGAAAATGTGTTCCGGGAGCAGGGAGCAAACTCAGCATTCCATGCCCAAACACTTTAACACTACAGACTGAACTCTCAAACCTATTAAAAATGTTTTTAACGCAAGGTGGTAAAGAAATACACCTTTAATCCCAGAACTCAGGAGGTGGAGGCAGAAGCAGAGGCAGGTGGATCTCTGTGAATCCTGTCTTAAAAAATCAAAAGTTAAAAAAGAAATATTTATTTACTGTTCATATGAACGCATACACATGTACAACAGCACATATGTGGAGGTCGAAGGACAACTTGTGGGAAGTGGTTCTCTTCTACCACATGGGTCTCAGGGACTGAAGTTGGGCTGCTAGCCCGTTACGCACTGAGCAAGCTTGCTGGACCCAGTTACTTTTATCTAAAACGCATTCTAATTTCTATTTGTCAAGGCTCGTTTGTTTGGTTTTGAAGTACATTATTCCTATGTAGCTCAGGTTGGACTCAACTGGCAATCTTTTTTTTTTTTTTTTTAAATATTTTTCTTTCTTTCTTTCTTTCTTTTTTTTTTTTAAGATTTCTTTCTTTAATTTATTTTATTATGTGTATAGTGTTCTGTCTGCATGTACGCCTGCAGGATAGCAGAGGGCACCAGATCTCTTTACAGATGGTTGTGAGCCACCATGTGGTTGCTAGGAATTGAACTCAGAACTGGAAGAAAAGCCAGTGCTCTTAACTGCCTAGCCATCTCTCCAGCCCCTCAACTGGCAATCTTAATGCATTAGTCTCCTGAGTGTTGAGACTACAAAGTGGAATCACCTACTCTGGCTTTCAGTGCTTTAAGCATTTTTTAAAAAAATTATTATTGGTGCCGGGTGGTGGTGTGGCACACACCTTGAATCCCAGCACTCAGGAGGCAGAGGCAGGCAATCTCTGTGAGCTCGAGGCTAGCCGGGTCTACAGAGTGAGATCCAGGAAAGGCATCAAAACTACACAGAGAAACCCTGTCTTGGGCGGGGTGGGGGTGGAGGTGGGGAAATTATTAGTAGTATGAGGGAGGTGGGCATGTCATGACCCTCAATTAATTTATTTTACATTTATAAACATATCCAAAATGAGATTTGAATTGGTTTCCTTTTTTTTTTTTTTGGTTTTTTGAGACAGGGTTTCTCTGTGTAGCTTTGCGGCTTTCCCTGGAACTCACTTGGTAATCCAGGCTGGCCTTGAACTCACAGAGATCTGCCTGGCTCTGCCTCCCGAGTGCTGGATTAAAGGCGTGCGGCCACCACCGCCCGGCCAAGATTTGAATTGGTTTACTCTTAATGAATTATTTCTCATAACAATATCAAGAGTTATTTCTAATTGAATAAAAAGACAAAATTGGGGACTGGAGAGATGGCTCACTGATTAAGAGCACTTGCTACTCTCATAGGGGACTCAAAGTCAGTTCCCAGAATCCACATGGCAGCTCCCAACTATGTAACTCCAGTTCCAGGGGTCCCAACACCCAGGCCAGCAAGCTCCAATGATCTATTTGTCTTGTCTCCCCAGAGCTGGGATCACAAGAGTATGTCTGGCTATTTATGGGTTCTAGGAATCAATTCAAGTCCCCATGCTTACGAGGCAAGCACTTTACTGACTGAACTCTGTTTCTCTCCCCTCTTTATTTCTAACTAAGTCTCTAATCCCTCACTGTTCCAGTCTCTGGATAAATAAACATGGGGGTTGGTCTCCCACACTCTAATCATCATTCCACCCCCCTCCCGCCCAGATAGGGATTCTCGGTTTCTCTAACTGTTCTGGCTATCCTAGAATGCAGAGATCCACCTGCTGGGATTAAAGGCACATGCCACCCTGATTTCTAAATCATGACGTGCTTAAAATTACATTTGAAGCATTACGGGAGGTGGTGGCTCATGCCTTTAATCTTAACATTCAGAAGACAGAGGCAGACAGCCTGGTCTAAATAGAGTTCTAGGACAGCCAGAGCTGTTACACATAGAAACCCTGTCTCAAAAAACCAAACCAAACCAACCAAACAAACAAACAAAAAAACCCACCAAAACATTTATCATTAGTCTGATAGTTTTTGTGTTAATTATCATTTCAAGTTTCTCCTTTTCACCTTCTCAGAATGCACACTTAGGGCCAGAGGTATATAGTTTAGTGGTCAAGCATGTGGTTAGGATACTAAGGCCCTGGAATCAAACCCAATGTGATCAGGAGGAGAAAAAAAAAAGGCCTCATAATCCAGACAAACTAAAGTATTAGCAATTTCCAGCTGTGAGTTTCATCTTCTGCGTTTAAAAGGCACTCAATGACTAGTGAGGGGTCTTCACTAGGAAGCAAGCTGTGACTAACTCTGGAGCACCTGAGCTCAAGCACTGTCAGCTTTTTTATTATTGAGAACAGTGGAAATGATTCTAAGAGTAACAGTAGTATCTTATAGCTGTATTTTTAGAAAATACTACCTATCTCCAAATCAAATTAGTAAAACTTCATACTTACAGTTGTCTGGATTTCAAACTTTTTCAAAGGACTATTCAAATTTATTCAACTTTTCAAAGGACTATTCAAAATTATTCATTTTAGTTTAGAATTTTTCATTTTGACATACCTGGGTCTGGAGTGTAAGTAAATGGCTGAACATCATGAGATCTTCCAGCATTGGTCACAACATATATTCCCACTGATACAGGCAAAGTTATATGTTGGTCATGATACGGGGGGACTTTCACAATAAGATGGTTCTAATTAGAGAAAAGTGTAAGAATCAGAAAGGAAGCCAATGTTTAAAAGAAAAAATAAGTATATTACCTGTTACCCGTACAGTTTTTAAAAGTTTGATTAGGAAAAAATGCACTAGATTATTACAGCCAGGTCTTTGCTATGAGGCAGTCAAAGCTGCCTCAATCTGTAGATCTTCCTGCTTCATTTAAACCCCACATTCAGGGACTACAGGTGTAGGCCACTACACCAAGCAAAAAATGATGATTTGAAGGTTGATAGGCATCATGTCATTAATCTTAATATTTTTTCATGGTAAAGCCCAAATGTTTTACAACACATCACAAGGTCCCTGCTTGACCAACTTCATTTCATTCCTACTTTCCAAATGGCTTAATACACTATAGCTAATTGACCTTTTTTAAACTTAAATGTTGTCTATCCTTTTAATTACCAAACTCAGCTTTATTTCAGACTCGTTCTCTCCAACTGTAGTATTTTCATCTTCTCAAATGGCAAGTTTCTTACCCATACCCAGGTCTTACATACAAATGCCACCTCCTCAGAAGTCTTCCCTTCCCTGCCCATTCTTTAGAAGCAGTATTCTTCCCCAACCCAATCACATTTATTTTCCTAACAGTACTTCTTAACCATCTCAAACAACAGAAAGTAGAAGGTCCACAAAGATCTAGAGTGTTCTGCTCACAGTCTGTCAGGATAATCGTACCTACCTTACACAAGATGCATTCACGTCACTTGAAACATCTTGCCAGCCTGGCCTGTAAGTCTTACTCCTCCCCGCTCAACCTCTAAATGCTGGGTCTTACAGGTGTGTGTGCACCACCATGCCCTGCTCCAAAGTTCTGTTTATTTCAACACCTCTTCCTCTCTCTAATACTTCATTTTTGTTCTCCATTTAATACGAGTTCTAGGTCAATTCTCTAGGATACCAGATCTTACTCTATTCTAAGAAAATATTTCCCAGAAAGGCACTTCTCTCTCTCTCTCTGGATGAAATTTTTTTTAGAAAAAAATGAGCAAGACCACAGAACCAATGACCTATCATGTTATGATTTAGTTTGTTTATAAACTCATTTGCAGAAAGTCCAAGACAGGGCCGGGGAGATGGCTCACCAGGTAAAAATGCTTGCTGAAAAAGCCTAATGACCTAGTTTGATCCCGGAACCCACAGAAATGTGGAAGAAGAGAACTTACTCCACAGAGTTGTTCTCTGACTACTACATGCACACCCTGCCCCCCCCCCCATACAGTAGTAAAACAACAATAAGTTCACAACCCTCTAAAGACCGCTGTATTACACCTGCCACACAAACCTGATAACCTGGATTTGATACCTGGATCATATGGAAGGACAGAGCCAAGTCCACAAATCTGTCCTGACTTATACACACACTATATGCTATGCGTGCTCCTATATACATCATATCTATTTTTAAATGTAAATTTAATTATTGGGCTGAGGATGGCTCAATTGGTAGAGTGCTTGCCTAGCACGCATGAAGCCTTGGGTTCCACCCCCGGTACTGTAGAAACCAGGCAGGTTTGTGATCCCAGCACTTGGGAAGCAGAGGCAGCGAAGTTCACGGTTATCCTCGGCTATATAGCGAGTTCACAACCAGCCTAGACTACACAAAAAAAAAAGGGTGGGTGGGTGGGTGGGTGGGTAACATCCCATTTCTCAGAAGGGAAGGAAGAATAAACAAATGGATGGAAGAGGAGGAGAGAAAAATGATACAAGTGAGAGAGAAGAGGATGAGTAAAGGACGATAAAGGGGGAGAGAGGGAGGGTGAAGGGAAGAGAGAGAACTAAAATAGAGATTATATTAATCTAACCAGTATGCCAAATCCCAAAACATGTACATAGTGAGACCCTGTCTAAATTAGTAACAATAACAACAGAAAACCAAAACATGTTCACAGCACAAGAAAGTATTCTATGGAGTAATAAGGCTTCAATTACTAGTAAAACTAGGTACATAACAATTAAATTAGAACGAGGGGTTGAAGTGCCCTCAGAAAAAGCAGACTTTAGATCAAAGTTCACTTTTCCTTCAGGGACAATGAAATGAACTGACAAGTCTTCCATGGGTATCTATTACAAGCTTGGTATGGCAAGGATCCCACTTGTTCCTGTCAATAGTGCTCTGGAGGACATTACTGCTGGTCATGGAGAATGGGGGTTACCTGATTATGTGACAGAAGAAATAAAATGTCAGAATTGGAAAGAACCTCAAATAACTGAGTGAAGCTTCTCAAATAAAAATGAATTGCAGAGAATAAACAACAAAAATATTTAAAAAGTTTAAGTTACATACCTGATGAAACAATTCCATGTCTATTTCAGCTTCTGATTTCCAAGAGTTTTCATCTGATGGAAATAATAACAGTGATTTAAAATTTTTTGAACTTTCTCACTCTGTGGCTTTAGCTTTAACTGTATTTTTATAACAAGTGAAACATGGAACACTATCGACCAGTTATATGCCTACTTACCAGAAATATTTTCCTGAAAAATAACTTTAGTTCCTTTTAGAAAGTTCTTCCCAATTAAAAACACTTCTTCCTCTCCTTTTACTGAACAGCTATGCAAGCTTTTCTTTAAGATTTCAGGAACTCCTGCTGGCTGAGCTGTGGACATACACACAGAAACATTCCATAAAAACAGCCACCAACACTTAATTCTTATGTACAAACAACTTATATCATGAATCCAGTTTTATGAGTTGTTTCTGTTGATCACGAGTTTTTTTTTTTACATTTTATTTATTTTAGACTGTGTGTTCACCTGTGTCTCTCTCTGTACATGCATGCATGTACACATGTCACAGTGGGTGGGTGGTCTGAGAACAACCTACAGGAGTCAGTTCTTTACTTCTACCTTCTGGGTCCAGACTATCAAACTCAAGTTGTCAGGTTCAATTCCCAGCACCTACACGGCTCCAGTTCCAGGGGATCTGTTATCTTCCTCTGGCCTTTGTGGGCATCAGGCACAATGTGGTAAACAGATATGCAGGCAAAAACAGCCATTCACACTAAGTAAAAATCTATTTTTTAAAAAAGATTTATGTATTATTTATAGTGGTCCTCCTCCATATATATACCTGCTGGCTAGAAGAGAGCACCAGATCTTATTATACATGGTTGTCAGGCAATATCTAGTTGCTGGGAATTGAATTCACAACCTCTGTAAAAGCAGTCAGTGCTAACCTCTGTGCCATCTCACCAGTCCCTAAAAACCTATTTTTTAAAAAATTAGTGTTTGGATTAGTGCCATGGCTCTGAAGACTTGATTAGAGTGCCAGAATCCACATGGCAGAAGCAGAGAATCCATTCCTACAAGCAGTCTTCTGACCTTGAGTGTGCACCGTGGCACACATACATCTAAACACATAATACATATTCATACATACATACATACACAAACACACAATAAATAATAGGTGTAAAATTTGTGTGTTTGCTAAGTTAAAGAATAGCTGTGGTAATTATTTGACAAAACTAGTACAATAAAAATAAAACAAAACAAAAAACCCAAAAAGAAAACGGGTCATAATACCTATAATAAGCTAACAGGAAATTCAACAACACGTTTTTTCTGTTTTGAAGTCAAATATGAGTTATAAAAAGCAGTGTCAGCCGGGCGGTGGTGGCGCACGCCTTTAATCCCAGCACTCGGGAGGCAGAGCCAGGCGGATCGCTGTGAGT